CCTCTGTTATCTAGGAGACCCCTGGCTCTGCTGTCCTATTGAACATGCTGGGCTGGCTCTGCACACTGGGAGGGACCTCCTGGCTCCTTGCTGCGCATGCTGACATTCCAGGTTTGTTTAAGATAGGATCTATGTAGCCCAGGCTGGCCTCAAACTCAGACTCATACTACTTCTCCCTCCCGAGTGCAGGATTGCAGGCCTACGCCCGCACTCCCGGCTCGATGTTTGGCTCGAAAGCTCATTAGCAAATACTCCCAGTCACCCGGGGGTGTTTGTAATCAGCAGGCATTCACAAGGCACCTGGTATACAGCAGGTGCTTTCTATGTTCTCATTTTCTCTGTGAGGCCTTGAGGGCTTCGGGAGGCAGTGAGACTTGGGAGGGCTGGTAAGGGTCCAGGCTTCTATTGGGTTCCTTTGAGTCTGGCTGGTGGTGGGGCTGAGGTGTTAGAAGGTCCCTGCCACCAACAAGGGTGTTTGATTATCATCTCTTGAGCCTGCTGAAAAGGCAGCTTTGCCACCAAGGACACTGCATTGATCTGATGGGCATTGATTTATTCTGTAAGGTTCCTCAGGGGTGGCCACCGGCTCTGGGACTGTTTAGGATGACAGGTAGTGCTTGGACAGGTGGGGAAGCTCGGGACTGGTGGGTTTGTAAGACCCCTGTGACTCAGGATCCCCAGGGGTCAAGGTGCTAGGAGGACTGTTTCTCTCTGCCTCTCTCTGTGCTCCCATTAGCTCTTCTTGCAGTGGGGCCTTGGATCCCGTGCTGTCTCAGGACTGAAGGGGGCTGCTCTGCTGTCATCCCTGCGAGTCCCCAGACAGAGAAGGTAGGGTGGTTGTGTCCCCGTTGCTCATCCTTAGATGCCAGTCCAGGGCTTTGTTTCTGCCTGTGAGCTATCGATTTCTCCATTCTCTTGTGAGGACAGCATTCAAACCCCACCTGTTTTATAACCCAGAATTCCCAGTCTGCCCTCTTGGGGTCTGCATCTCTCCTTCCATTTCCCCAGAACTCAGCGTGGCTTGCTTGAGCTCTAAGCTCCTTGGCGCATATGACCAATGGTGGGCCAGGCCACCAAGCTGCCAGTCCTGGAGGCGCTGACTCCCCTGACAGCTCCTCCCTGCCGCATCCTTGGTCTGGTTCGGCTTCCAATAGGCTCGGGGCCTTTCATCCGTGAGCCAGCGGGAATGTGTCAGGAGCAGTGGGTGACCACGCTGCACTGACCTGACTTCTGAGCCTTGGAGCGCTTGGATGAGTCCCAGGTCCTGCCATCTGGGATTTCCCCTTGTGCCTGAGGCCGGCAGGAGCAGAGGGACCCAGGGGCTGGATCTGCTCTGCTGCCTGCAGGGCCTCTGTGCCCTGCTCAGGGTAGCTGAGCTACAAAGGAAGTGGTTGGTACTTGGAGTTGCTCAGCCTGACCTGCAGTGTGATTTTGGGGAAATCACATTGGCCCTCCAGACCCACTTCCTGGGCTCTCCTGGATGGACCGTAAATGACGGTTAAGGTCATTTCCCTAGGGAGCCTGGTATGAAGCAGTCACAGTGACTGCCAAGTTCATCACTGTGGTATGTGCTAGACTGGGTGGGTGGAAGGCTGGGCACCAGCTGGGGAGGGCAAGAGGTGGAAGCTTTTGGAATGGGTGGCAGTTGAGTGAGGTTGTGAAGGGTGGGCAGGGGTTTGCCTCAGAGAGAGGGTAAAGCCATGCAGTGGGTAGGCTCGTAGGTAGCAAGAAGCTTAGTGTACCCCAGGACCAGTAGGAGATTTAGCCATTGAACTCATTGAGCTCAGAATCCAGGAGGCCTGGGTGTCAGGCTAAGGGGGTGACGGGGAGCCAGGAAAGACTTTAGAGCAAGAGAGGGACAGACATGTGTAGATTAATCTGGAGGAGACACAGCAGTTCAGGAGCAGGAAAAGACAGGGGTAGTTGTCCACGGGCACTGCCTCTGCAGCTGGCTACTTGCAGGAAATCTGCTCTCCCCTCCCTACCAAGACAGGGCCTCAAATAGGCTAAACTGGCTTCAGACACATAATGTAGCTGAGGAAGACCGTCAACTCTTGACTCTCCTGCCTCTGCCTCCTGAGTACTGCTGGGACCACAGGAATTGGCTACCATGCTACCATGCTTGGCTTTATGTGGTTCTTGGGATGAAACCCAGGCCTGTGTATGCACAAGTGAAACATTGCCAACTGAGCCGAATCTCCAGCTCCACCCCACCTTGCTTGTTTTTGGTCTGAGCTTTGGAGACAAGGTACTTCTATGTAGCTCTAGCCAGCCTCGAACCTCCTGCTTCAGCCTCCCCAGTGCTGGCATTACGGATGTGACCACTACGCCTGGCTGAATCTGTTTCCCTTTGTATCTTATTTAATTTCTTCTTTTCTGTGTGGGCTTATCAAGGAGTCTGAGGATTCAGTGCCCGGCATCACTGGGACCCTCCAGAGAGGCAGGGACCAGAGCTGCAGCCGCAGGAGAGGCTGGGACTGGGTCCGGGATGTGCCCTGCACCCAGAGAGGCAGGGACAGCATTTCAGAGGCAGGACACATGACGAGGAGGAGATACAGGCCAAGGAGCCTGGCAGGTCTGGTGTAAACAGATTCCTGCCATGTGACCCAGCAGAGGCCTTGAGTTTCCCCATCTGTAAATGGGCCTGCCAGATGCACTTGGGTTTGGGTCTCTAGGACAGGCAGAGGCAGCAGAAACTGGGATGTGAGGGGTGGGTGTGGGGCAGGGAATCAAGGGGAAATGGGGATGCTCCCTGGTAATTAGAGCGTTTGAACTTCAAAAAAGTTAATTAACGATGAAGCTGCTGCTGGAGCCAGGCTTGGGCTCAAAGGGGGCCTGGCAGCGACTGAAATTAATTGCAGGCTATGGCGGGAGAGTGGCAGCCAGGCCAGGGACAGGAAGGAGCAGGGCAGGGATGGAGGCCTTGGAAGTAGCTTTCAAGGTGAGCAGGGTCTGGGAACATAGGGGGCTGTTGCCATGGAAACTAGGCCAGCTCTCCTAGCAGGCAGAAGGGGCCCAGTTTACTGTGGTCGGGATCTGGCTGTGGTGGGCTGGTGTGGCTACATGACACTGGAGCTGGGATTGGGTTGGTGTGGTCAGGGCCCCGAGAGGAGATCATTTATTCATTCGGCAAGCCTTGGCTGAGCACCTACTTGCTGTTACGGTTTGAACTGAGAGTGTGTATCCCAGCGATCCGAGCTCTGCCCTAGAAGTGGGCAGAGACAATGAGTATCATCTCTGTGGTCTAGAAATGCTTGAGAGAGATGTCAAGCTGGAGGGCTGTCGGGGAGGGGCCTCTGGGGTTGAAGAGGTGGGTGGAACTCCTCACAGGAAGTGCCCATAAAGGATTAGCCCTGGGGAGTCTTGGGAAGTGTCTCCTGAGACCGGACAGAATAAGCAGGAGGCCCCAGGTTGGAGGAAGGCATTCAGGGGAAGGAGAGGGAGGTAGGGTCTTGCTGGCCAGCTTTGGGAAGGGCTCCTGTACTTATGCCAGGAGAAGCTGGGAGTCATAGCGGGACTCTGAGCAGAGGAGGAAACATCTCCCTGATTTTTTTGTTTGTTTATTTGTTTTTTCAAGACAGGGTTTCTCTGTGTAGTCCTGGTCATCCTAGATCTCTCTCTGCAGACCAGTCTGGCCTTGAACTCAGAGGTTTGCCTGCCTCTCTCTCCCAAGTGCCGGGATTAAAGGTGTTTTTAGTGACTCACTGATGCCATTAAAGAGGAGGGGTTGGGACAGCCTCCTTGGACCTGTGAGGTACCCCTAAACTTCAGTAAGGAACCTCTGGGAGCTTAGAATGGGAAGGGGCTTGCTTGAGACTCCAGAGCCATGCTAGGACTGGAGTTTACATGCAGGCCCTGGTCTCTCTAACAACACATCACCACTCTGTACCCAGATGCTAAGTGACGGGGTCAGGGATAGGCATGTGCAGACAGCTGGAGCCAGGGGCTGTCAGACTCCCTCCTAGTAAACGAGAAACCCCTTCTGGGTCAGTCGTCACCTTCAAGGGAAGTCAGGCCCCTCAGTCTGGAGGTTCACCCCTGAGTCTGACTTTAGTCGTTTATGCCATGTGTGGTTTAACTTCATTTTACCATGCTTCACTTTCTGGGGGTACAGATCACCTTAGGCCCCATGGCTTGGACAAGAGAGGAGAGGCCATTTTGGGAGAAACGAGCAGACTTCAGCTCTCTCAGCTAGATCATGACAACTAGGGGCTGTGAGTAACACAGCCCTAAGAACTCTTTGAGTTTTGAGTGCCTGGTTAGATAGATTGAGATAGGCAAATGTGGGTGGAGTCAGCCATGGCCTAAGAGGGGTTGTTAGCAGGGGGAAGGGGCACTTAGGAGGTTCTCCTCTGCCGGGGCTGTAGAAGAACGCCTTATCCTGCTGGTGGCTTGTGGCCGAGTGAAGAACTAATCTTAGTCTGGCTCCAGGCAGCAGTTTTCTGCTGGGCAGAGCCTGGGGAGACCGACCCTTTGGGTGGGGATGACCTACGAGCATCATCCAGAGGATGGGGAGACTGACCCTTTGGGTGGGGATGACCTACAAGCATCAGCCAGAGGCGGACTTCGGAGATAGGCAGGTCAGGAGAATGTGTCCAGGAGGTCTCAGAAATGTAGTAGAGCCCTTGAAACTGGAAGTAGGAGGCCTCTGCAGAGGGAGGGTGGGTGAGGGGAGAAGGTGGTCAAAGAAGGGTTTAGGCATCAGAGCTATTGGGGCTGGGGACCTTTCTGGGAGCCAGTCCTTCCTGCATGGGACCGGGGAGTCCTACACTGGAAGCTTCGGTGGTTTGGTTCCTTGCAGGGCATGGCCTTGGTCTCACTGCTGTGCTTGGGCAGGGCCAGCTGCACACTGCACACTGCAGGGGACCTGGGCCACTGTGGTGTCCACACGGGCGGGAGGGAGGGAAGAAACAGTCCATTTGTCTGTTCCTGGGATGTCACATTCAGGAGCGTAGCACCTTAGGCCGCACTGCAACCAGTTTGTCCTTGACTCTGTGTACATGGTTCGAGTGTGTGAGCATGCTGGTCATCCTGCTGAACTGTGTGACCCTGGGCATGTACCAGCCATGCGACGACATGGAGTGCTTGTCAGACCGCTGCAAGATCCTGCAGGTGAGCTTCTGAGTTGTCTCCTTCCCCCCTCCCAGCTGGGGGTGTCCTCTCTCAACCTCAGGGCTCCACTCTGGCACCTCCTACTTCTCCTGCCTCACTGCCCCTCTGGCCCCCTTTGGTTCCTCACCCCATCCCATTCACACCAGTGAAGTGCACTGGCTGACGCTTCTCTGCTTATAGCCTGCCTGGTTCCCTAGTCGTCCCCCTCCCCATGTCTTTTAGGAGTGTCCTCTTGCATTTCTCTTGTTCTTGCTTCTCAGATCCTGGGTGGGCCCTGATGTGGCATCTGCGTGGGTGGGCAGGGTTTGAGGAACCATCGAACAGGGCTCCAGGGCTGCACCCATTTTGCAGAAGTAGAATATTTGAGGCCCATCCCTGGGAGTCAGACCTGAGTTTCATTTTAATTCTGCTATGTAGTTGCTGTGTAACCTGGGGCAAGTTGCTTGACTTCTCTGGGTCCTGCTTATTTAGCTCTAAAGTGGGCTACCCAATGTACGCCATTGCGAGAATTAGGGGTGAGGATGTAGTTCCACCATCTGTCCTAGTGTTTGATAGTTAGCAGAGATAATGAGGGAGAGCCCGGTGCTCAGCCCCTGACCTTTGTCATTGCCTAAGCTAAAACGATGAAGAAAATGGGCTGTGTAACCTTGGTAACTTCATCCCTTCTCTGGGCCCGGGACTCTTCTCTGTGAAGTGGTTGAGTGGACCGGGGCCTCGGAGGTTCTCTTCCTGCCCCACCTTTGACCTCACAGTGGCTCTGACTTCCACTCCTGCCCTGAGAGTTCACTCTGCCCTGTGCTATCTTCCTCCTTCCACGCAGGTCTTTGACGACTTCATCTTCATCTTCTTCGCTATGGAGATGGTGCTTAAGATGGTGGCCCTGGGCATTTTTGGCAAGAAGTGCTACCTCGGGGACACGTGGAACCGCCTGGATTTCTTCATCGTCATGGCAGGGTAGGTAATGAGCTGTTGTTGATGCATGCCAGCTGCCGCGTAGCTATCCCAGGGGCCTCTGGTCCAGGGGACAGGAGAAACAGTGCCCTCTGTGGACAGACAGCTGTCCGGTCCTTCGGCCACCGTGAACATCTGTTCTAGATGGGCAGTGTAGACTGGGTGTTTTATGATGATTGATTGAATACTTTTGAGAAAGTCACTTAACTTTGTGGAGCCTCCATTTCCCCAACTGTAAAAAGGAGGAAAGAGATCCACTCGGTCAGAATGAACACCAGGGAGCGTTGCTGCCATCAGCACCACCACCATCATAGCCATCACCATCATTATTATCATCGTTGTCACTTTCACCTCCGCCTCTGTCACCACCTCGCTGTTATCATTGCCATCATCATCATTATGATCACTCACCGTCATCTCATTTTCACCGTCATAATTATAGTCATCTTCATCGTCACATCATCTTCTTACTGCAAACTGTCATCATCAAAACCATCATTATCATAACCATTATCGTTATCCCTGTGACTGCCATCATCATCATCACCGTAACCATCACCACCATCATCACCGTTATCACTACCATCATCACAGTGAGCATCACTGTTATCACTACCATCATCACCATTATCACAACCACCATCACCGTTACCACTACCATCATCACCGTTATCACTACCATCATCACCGTTATCACAACCATCATCACCGTTATCACTACCATCATCACCACCACCATCACCATTATCACTACCATCATCACAGTCAGCATTACCATCATCACCACCATCATCACTGTTATCACTACCATCATCACCATTATCACTACCATCATCACCATTATCACTACCATCATCACCACCATCATCACCGTTATCACTACCATCATCACAGTCAGCATCACCATTATCACTGTTATGGTTGCTCAGCAGTCTGGACAGAGGGCAGATTTAGACGTCCTCTGACCCCATTTCTGGTCACTTCTAATGAAGCACGAATGGCTTTAGTGGGAGGATCACTTAACCTAGGAATTTAAGACCAGCCTGGGTCATCGAATAAGACTTGATGAAAAAGAAAAAGCCACATGCTACAGTCAGAGAAGTCAGGGGAAACTAGGCCCCATTTTACCCACTTGGAGCGCCACTCAGACTTCCTTCCTGCTTTCCTGGAGTCTGTTCAGCAGCCAGGGATGCGGAGGGTTCTGCTGAATGTGGGTGCTGCTTGGAGGCCAGCTGAGCAGGAGAGAAGGCCACATGCAGGCCAGTCTTGCCAGGATCACTGGCTAAGACAGTGCCCATAGCTCTGCCGTGGTGAGGTCTGCCCACACTTGGACTAGGGCTCTGAGCAAGGTGCTGTATTTTGCTGAGATCATTTGACCCAGGAGTCTGATGGAACCAGGCTTGGGACACGGGGACTTGAATTCTGTCCTGAGGAGGTAGCACATGGGAGGCAAACAGGTACTAACCATACTTAGCCAGGGCTCCACACGGTGGGAATCAGGAGAGAACAAGGCTGGTGACCGGGGAAGTGTGCATGCCCGGTAGTGTGTGTGTGAGCATATGTATGCGTTTGCACACGAGTACTTTGCCATCGGTAAGGGACAGTGGAGACACCTACAAATGACTAGAGTAGCGGCCCAGGAGTTCTCAGGCTCTGTCCTGAAACGCGACAGTTTGTGTCCCCACTCTGTTCCAAGCATCCCTTCCTGATGGTGCTCTTCAGATCCAGGCCCCCTTGTCCCTAGGGATTTGGAGCCCGCCTGAAAACAGGTAGACATCAGATGGTTTCTTGGGTACCCGGGCATCACCTTTGTCAGGTGCATTTTCCCTGGGGCTGACTGGAGAATACCCGTAAGTAGAGTTTCAAAGGAAAGGTTTTGGAGAGTATCAGTTTTTAATATTGGCTGTGCAAGCTCATCCCTTTGATCTTGGGATAGGAAGGACAAAGTGTGTCTGCTCTTTCATAGGACTGTGACTTTACTCTCTTAGAACCGGTGACATTGTGCCACGTGAATCGATAGCATGGGGCTGCACAGAGCCCAAACCACCTTGCTCTCCTTTCTTGCAAGGCGACAGCTTTGTCCAGCTGAGAAACTGGCTGTTTTCCTCCTTGTCTTCAGAATTCAGGCTTTCTCCTGGGTGTCTAGAACTTGTGGTTCCAGCTTCAAGGGCCCCGTTGGCTCAGAGCACTTGCCCTGTTTCTTCTTTGATTTTCTAACTCATTCTCCTGCTCTGTCTTCCTCAAGTTCCTGTTAGCCGGACTCTCTCTCCCTTCTCTTGTCTCTGTATCTGTCCTGTGTTCACCTGGCGCAAGAGGGAGTTCTGGACTCAGCTTTGTGTGTCACCCCTGGCTCAGCAGGGTCCATTCCCCCCCTCCCTGCCCCTGCTAGAATTGTCCCCTTCTCTGTCATTTCCATCCCCTGGATGTCTTCTTGCTGTTGTGTTGTCTGGGTTTTGGAACAGTTTGTACCTGGTTTTGTTTTATGGTTGTGTGTTCACCCGCATCTCCTTGGAGTACTAATGTTGTTGCTCTAAAGTCCCCGATTCTGAAAGGAAACTTAGATCAGAATATCATTTCCAAAAGTTGAAAAAAAAAAACCCAGATGTGAAGAAAAGTGACCCTTGTACAGATACGAGAGTGCTGTGTTGTTCTGAGAAATGTCCATGGTTATTCCGCTAACTCGGGGACAGGTGAGGTGGTGACGCAGCATCTGGGAGCAGGTGTAGAAGAGGAAACACTCGAGCTGTGTGATGACGTGGTGATGGCCTCCCACGAAGACAGCGCAGGCTGGCAATAGGCAGAAGGTTTCCTGTTGGGCAGAAATTGCATCCATCTTTGCCTGGTAAAAATCCACAAATCAGCTTGCAATTTCCCAGCGGCTACGCCTTTTAATTAGCAGGAAAGAATAAATCAAACAAAGGTATTGTCCCCTAGATACCGAAGAATCATCAGGTACATCTGTTAGCTCATGCTAACAAGGCCTCGCTGTGCAGCCCTGACTAGCTTGGACCTCACTATGTAGACTACGCTGGCTGTGGAGTCACACAGATCGTCTGCCTTCAACTTTCCAGTGTTGAGATTGAAGGTGTGCGGCACATTGGACAGCTTTTCCCAACTCTTGTCTCACAAATGTCATTTTGTTGGCTGGGTCTACCCTTCCCATCTAGAAGCTCTCCGGCCCTTGCCCCACAGACCGCAAGCTCAGCTCTGTTTCTTGTTCCCCTCCTGTGTGCTGGCACACTGGGATCTCCAAGCTGAGCAAGGAGAGGACCTGGACCAGCCTCAACACCCAGTTCTTGGGACAAGTTGGGAGGTACGATCTTCTGACCGCCACCCTTAGCATCAGGAAAAGCTGGCACGGGGCTGATAGCAAAGCATGTTTTCACAGTCTTACTGTATGAACTGAGTGTGTGTGTGTGGGGGGGGGGGGACCTGCATTGTCACCTCCACTGTGACCTACAGATGATGCAACTTGCCCATCAGCTTCCTGGGAGACTTTCTCAGAGTCAGAACACCCGCAGGCCTACCCTGTGCTAGATGCGGAAGCAGACCTACCGTTGTCTGTAGGGTCTTTACTATCCTAAGAATGGTGTGGGTGGAGAGGGCAGGTTGATGGTTATAGTTGGTATTCCAGAGCCCAGTTTTGCCCTTCCCACCCCCACCTGGTTCTTACCACCTCCAGAGCTGCCCACCCACCCCCCAAGTCCCACCAGTACTATAAACGTTCTGTTTCCAGAGTAACAGGCCTGACATCCCAAGGATATTTCTTCCCTTCCTGCTCCACCCCTTCCCCAAATTACTGGCTGCTTCTTCCAAGACGCAGAGGGTGACACAGAACCTCTGAGTTGCAAGGTTCCTTAGAGGTCACAGCCAAGCTGAATTGAGATGGGAGGCCCCATTTGTATGCTGCTCCTGCAGAGAGCTCACTATCATGCAAGGCAGCCAGTCTCAAATCGGAACGTAAGAAAGAGCTGGGAAGTTCCTTCACTTTGCTAAACTCTGCCTGTCTGTGGCTTCCACCTGTTAGTACTGTTCATTCTCAACTCGGCATTTACTGAGGTGCTATTGTACACCAAACTGTCCTGGGAAGTGGGGACACAAGATAAGGGAGACAAATGCCCTTCCTGACGTCATGGGGCTCAGAGTGTAGAAAAGAGATGCAAAACACACATCAGAGACAGGTTCTAAATGGCTCCACAATATTTCCTAGAAGGACCAGAGTGATCCAAGGATACGGGTCCAGTATTTACCAGGGGTCGGAATGTCCTCCAGACACAGAGCAGACATGGGAACGGTCCAGCAGAGAAAAGACGGTGGAATCTTAGGTGGAAGGCTAATATTCTGGAATGTGTGGAGCTGAGAGATGAGGCTAGGAGAAAGATCTGGGGCCTCTCACATGGGGAAACTGAAGCCACAGGAAGGGTTTTATGTACAGACTCTCCACAGCCTTCCAGAAGTCATTTTCCCTTTAGGATGAAACATCCAGTTCCTCCCACCGCTTGTCCGAGGACAGCGTTTTCAGAAAGCTCCACTTGCTGGACTTGGTCATGCTGTCTCTATTCTTCCCCAGAGAATAGGATCATAGCCTGCAGTGACAATGGCTTTGGGGCAGATGGGAGAGGCTGTACCATCCCAGCAACATGTAGGCTCTGATAGCTTGTCTCACAGTCACGCTTGCCCTCCAAGCCGGGTCCCTTCACCTTGGGGTTGATAGCAGGTGACTTTTACACTCAGCCCTGTGGCTGGTACTTTCATCACAGAGGGGTTTCTGGAGTAGGGGTCCAGCTGTTCTCTGTCACTTCCTGTTTTTGCTCAGTCTAGGCTGAGAGCCCCGTCATTCTCTCCCACCCCGTGACAGGGCAGGCGGGCACCATGACTCTTGAGGTGTGGCTCAGCCGCCCTACCACCTTCCCCTTAAGCTGCTCTCTCCTGCCTTGCCCATTAGGGGGTCATGAAATATTCAATTATTGTCTTGAACCCGAGATATTCTTCGCCTGTATATA